GCAAGACATAATGTCTGATTACACAAATATTGCTCATATATAGGGCTACCAACTTTCAAAGCTGTCAAATTGGTACATAATTCTTAAAAGCAATGATGTCTGTCATTTCCAAACATAATTATTGTGTCACAAATTCTAAAATAGTAAATTAATCAAATGATAACCAGAGAACAATATGTTTATGACATAAAGTAAAATATTGCAATATGTAAAATAGAAATATAAATTATTATAAATAAAAAAATAGTGGTAAATATTTTCTTTTTATATCTATTTAACTGAGGAATGAATTGTGAAATATAAGACAGAATTATCATTCTACCTATGAATCTATAATGAACTATGTCAGAAGGTTTCTGACAATAGTGCACAATATTCTTGGATAATAATTTTAATATCATCCATCATCTTAGGTTCTTCAGTCTTCAATATTCTCTTTCCTTCTTCGATTGACAGGATAAACTAAGGACTCCTGCTCTATTTGGCCTTTTGGTACAGCTTGTCTCAAACTCTAGGCTAGCTCTGCCAAGTAATCTAATGCAGCAGAATTTCTTGTTTATCATGTTACCTAAAGAAGGAAAAAGAACCAGTTTCTAAAACATTGTGGTTTTAATAAATTTGGATGATAGATGATATCAAAAATACCAGCTAAAAAGAATCTAGGAATGTCTGAATGAAACCCTTTAACATCCAAAAGTTTCTATGTGACATACTGTATTCTTGACACAAAATCAAAGAAAACTTTAAAATATACCCACAATAAAATGAGAAATTAATATGACACATATCAGCTTTTCCCCATGCAAATTTGCGAACTTGTTGTAAATACTTCGGAAGTGAATTATTAAATATTAACATCCTTTAAAAAGCTTATCTCACAGCCCTGAAAATTTTAAACATTTGCTGCATTTTTTAGGGAATAGTGATTTGGAAATTTGGAGTGGATATAAAGAGTATGTGAACACTGAACAATTGACCTTTAGATGAACTGAACTTTTGTGCTTCCAATACCTCTCCCCAAAGTCAGAAACGAATTGACAGGCTGTTTACACAGCGGGAAACAGGAAAGTCTTGTAGTAAAGTACAATATACAACAGACAGCAGAAAACATAAGTTATCATAAATCAGCACACTCCAAAAAAGTCAAGTCTGGTGCAGTAACATATTTAACTGTGTTGATATGTCAGTTGCCATGTGTAAGACTGAAAAGTAAAAAGAATTACCTGGTTATTTTATAAAACCACAGAGGAATTGCATTATGTAGGACACAGTCATACTAGTATATACATAAAAGTCAGATACTAATTTGGGCACTGAAGGGCTTAGGATAAAACACAGTATAGGGGCACTATGGATTTGTAATAATAGTTTAATCATTCCTCACAGCAGTTAATATCACTGTATCCTGACATCATAATAACTAATTACTTAAAATTCTCTTTTTACTTGACTTCTCAATAAGTTAATACATAAAAGTCAGATACTAATTTGGGCACTGAAGGGCTTAGGATAAAACACAGTATAGGGGCACTATGGATTTGTAATAATAGTTTAATCATTCCTCACAGCAGTTAATATCACTGTATCCTGACATCATAATAACTAATTACTTAAAATTCTCTTTTTACTTGACTTCTCAATAAGTTAATACATAAAAGTCAGATACTAATTTGGGCACTGAAGGGCTTAGGATAAAACACAGTATAGGGGCACTATGGATTTGTAATAATAGTTTAATCATTCCTCACAGCAGTTAATATCACTGTATCCTGACATCATAATAACTAATTACTTAAAATTCTCTTTTTACTTGACTTCTCAATAAGTTAATTATAGCAGGGGATATTTAATTTTACTGTGATCTACTGTGTTAACATGGCACAGGGTTAGAATATTAAATATATTTTAAATGTTAAAATACTTCTAGAGTGTAACAATTGGATATATTTATCTATTAATTTGTATATTTATTTATTTATTTATTTATATGGTAGCCAGATGACCCATTTACAATGACAGGCCAAGAATTGTGTGCCATATGGCAGTGTCCCTGTGAAGCTTATTAGGTTGGTCAATTTGACCATTTTTAAACTTGGGCGATCACAACACAACAGCTCAGTAAGCTTTAGATTAAATTACTCTTTCCTATTTATAACCCTTCTAAACTCTCATAGATGTTATGAGGAGTTATGAAATGAAACTTTTTGATAGTTCACTATCTTTGCACTGGTAGTTATAAATTTCAGATTTTGTCTCTGTCTAAATAAAAATGAAAATATTCATGTTATGTTATGAAGTCATGAAGGAAATTTATATTCTTAAAAATTGTTAATAATATTGACAATCAGAATTTTCACTAATTTGTACTGAACTTGGTAATGTGATGGTTTCCACTGCCACCTTCCATTCTGTAGGTACTCCACTTGAATCCTGACTCACATCAGCTATCCTTATTGTTTCTTATAAGTTTCTTATGTATCTTCATATGGTAACATTATTACCAATCCCATATAGTATTACAACATAAAGATTTGTTATATCTCGTCCCATCAATCCTTTCATGTATGTTGAAAAATTCTTGGTGGTTGGTTAAATATTATTTCAATGTTCTCTTATAGTTATTCAAATACCTCGTGTCTTCTCATACTTACCATTCATAATTATCATTAAATTACCTAATTTATTAAAATAAATATGCCTAACTGGTTCCTCAGTCTGGTCACTCCATTATAATGGAACATTTAAAAAAACGTTCTCACATGTGAAGCTAAAATGTATGGTCAGGAGATGAGATAAATTACGTAATAAATAGGTACCCTGGACTTAGACCAAGCATAAATTAAGCTCTGTATAAAAAAATAACTACCTGTTAAGGTAACTGTCTTTAACTACACAAATTGTCTCCCCTAAAGAAGAAGAATGCAATTCCTCTTGCAAGACATTTTTTTGACTGCTGTCCTGTGAGGATGTGAGATCTGTAATCCATATAATGCATGTAAAACCTTGACCAGGATGTTTCTTCTTACAAGATATAAAACTCTTGTGAACTATATACATATGCGTGCGAATGCATGCGCACACACATACACAGTAAACCATCACTAATCTGGATTAACTGGGAAGGGGAGAGGTCATCCAGATTAAGTGATAATCTGGATTAGTGAAGCAAAATGTAGCCATAAAAGACACTTAAAGAACAAATAAATGGAAAATTTAGTTATAAGTAGTGCTGATGAAAATAAAAAATATAACTGTAGAGCTTTTATTTTAAAATTATAGAAAACAATACAGTTGTTATACAGTCATAGTCATACATTGACAGAAAACTCAGAAATTGTACTTGTTTTTGAATTTACATAAAACTGCAGGTTTGAAGAAACTGTCAAGTTTTGCCTGAACACACAAGCGACTCATCTGCCTTGGTAAATGCTCTGTGTCTTTTAAAGTATGTACCCCATTGTGAACAGAATTTTTCATTTTTCATGCTTTGTTCCAGATTATCCATTATCCGAATTAACTGTAACAAGATTAGCAAGGGTTTGCTATATATATATAAAAGCACATGAACACAATTGTGCAGATTTAGAGGGACACAAAAATTATAAGTAACAAAAATTCCTTCATCAATCATTTCTTGCTGACCGGCTATAACGAATTTTAAAATATACTGGTCATATTTGTTGACACACAAACATAACAAATTATGTCTCCTTATCATTTTACTTCAACAGTTTTAGTAAACCTATGTGTGTGAAGTGCTAAGGTTGTGGGATAACACAGAAGTCCAGGTTTACATCCAGAATTAAGCTTAGTTATGCTACATGTGTAATCATATAACTATACAAATTTTAAACCTTAAGGTTTCAACAGAACAATTTAACCAACCCATAACAAATGTGTAGAAGTATTCTGAATAAAAGTAAGTTAAAAATCTGTCACAAAAGTAGGTCTGGATTTTGGTTTCAAAAGACCAAAATTTCTCCCACAACGTTAGAATATCTCTGCTAACACTAGTATAAGTTATGAAAATTAAAAATAAAAAAATGACTTGTATATATAGCTCGCTTGCAAATGTCATACTTTGTTGCAGAGTAAAAGCCTGCAGCATAACAAATTGAATAATACTTGCAAATAGCTTAAAAATTGATGTCAGTTATAACAAAAGAAATATGTAACGTTTAATTGAAAAGATGGCTATATATAATATATATTATATATATATATATGTGATTATAAAGTATAGCTGAATGTAATGTTGACTTACAAGAACATATCTTCAAACTGGCACCTACTAATTTTTAAGACTATTAAACCACGTTAACTTCATTGATACTGCTATGTCTCTACCCATAAGAAACCATATCTTTGTCCATATCTGTTATTTCGGATTGCAACTCTACATCCCCAGTTTGTTCTACATCAAGAATTGTGTAAAAATAATAAATATATTCAAGAATCAGAAATGTGTTTTAATTGTAATGTTATTATCCTTTGCAGTAACCATCAGGATCTATTACTCCATAGACAATGGGTTGGCAATTATTGAATCTGCAGATCAGATGGAGCTACTATTTTAAAGTGGCTCTGAACAACAAAAACTCACAGAAGGATTCTATATTTAAAAAACTGTTAAATGTCTATTAATCATTTTCACTGATTGAACATATTTTATAGATATACCAAATGACATATATTACATTAATATATAAATTTGACACAATGCCCCAAACTTTGACTAGTGTTCAGAAAGCTTTAAGACAAAAATAAAATTTGTGAGTGGTGTCCATTTGACATTCTTATACAAAGTATAAATGAATATATGTTACAACGCTCTAGGATAGACAGATGGGTTCAATCTGATCATATTTTGTTAACACACACATGACCAGAAACGCTTTGTTTACACGTTAGGGCCTCTGAAATGTGAAGGAGGACACCCTTACCTCTTACCTCTGGGTTTTCTGGTTATTTTTACATAACATTTCTCCAAGAGACCTTACCTGAGCTGCTGAAAGTGGTGCCTTTGGTAGTGTGTCATGAAATGTGGTTCCAGCATGATGGGGCACCGGCACACTGCACTAATATCGTCTGTAAGTATTTGGATGAAACCTTTGGCAGCAGATGGATTTGACATGGAGGCCCAATAACCTGGCCCCCTGACTTCACTCCATTGGATTCCTTTCTCTTGGGGCACATTCAAAGCCTGGTGTACGAAACTCCAGTGGAGACACAACATGATCTTGTGGCAAGAATTTCAGTAGCAGCTGGAACCATCTGGGAAATGCCAGAAATCTTTCAAAGAGTTGAGCATAACATAGCAAGGCTGTACAGAACATGCAATGAAGTCAGCGGCCGCCATTTTGAGTAACTTTTTTTAATGTAAAACAATAATAACATCCCCTAAAATGTATGCATCTTCTCAGAAAATTTTGTGGCCCTTAATGCCAAAAGGAAGCGTTTCCAGACATTGGTGTATTAATAAAATATGATCAGACTGAACCAATCTATCTACCACAGAGCGTTGTGACATATATTTATTTACATCCTGTATACAGTTACAGATATAATTAATAAATATACATGGAAGCGAAAAAATTGCATTTGTTTCAAAAATCAATTTATATTTATTTATTTATTTATTTTTGTAACTAAAACAGAATGAGTTTTTATGAAATAGATACAAGATATAACAAATAACATGACAGTAATTTACCAACTAGTGAACGATCAGCACAGGAATCTCCCCTGCATGCAGCATTGATTCTCACTGTTAAAACAGAACTTTGTTACTGATTATTGTAAAAATGCAACACAAGCTTCCAATATTATATATGACTGAAGTATCAAATTCAACTTAAAGAGTTTTCATGGTGAAATCCTTCACAAAGAGGAAACTTACAGAAAGTGCATTCAGAAATTCATTAGTAAATGCATATAAGAATGAGTTCCTGAAAAGTTTTGTGTATTGAATGTTGTCAGAGTCTCAGACCATGATTCCTACTGTGACAAAACGAACAGTCCAAGATGAATCTTTTAACTGACCAAAAAGTTCAAGACATTCAGACTTGATCAAATCCCAGTCTCCATATATCATTAAGAGACCTGGAACAAGAAACTGGTATTTCGCTAGGATCCGGATTCACAGCCACAAGAGTAATTAAATTACTGCCAGAAAGAGAGACCGCTAGAAAGGCCAAGATGTAGGTGGGTGGACAATATTAAAATGGATCTTAGATTGATAGGATCAGGTCTTATGGACTGGATCCATCTGGTTCAGGATAGGGACCAGTGCAAGGATGTTGTGTGAATACAGTAATGAACCATTGGGCTCCATAAAATCCTGGGAAGTTCTTGAATAGCTGTACAACTGGCAGCTCCTCAAGAAGGGCTCACTTCAATTAATTTAGTTATGAGTATGTGTATATTTATACGTTCTCTTAAAAAATTAGTCCAGTTATAGAAAGTTATGAAATTCAATGTGATGCCTAACACTCTCTCTTCACAGGTTATTATACTTGGGAGAGTATATGTAGCCACTCTTGCACAATAATTTAAATGTTTATCACTTAAGGATTATTTGTACTTTGCCTTTAGTATTTTCACTGTAGAACCAAAACATGAACTCACCTTCAATATTAAACTCACTAAATTCTTGACACTGCATTTCTTCAGTTACCTTATTATAGTTAGGAATGTATTTGGCAACAGTCACTCTCACAATTATTTAAATGTTGATCATCTAGTAACAATTTGTATTGTAAATTACATTTTAAATCCTCAACTTCGTTTCTAGGTATTCTGCGTTGTAAAGATATTTAGATATGTAGTCATCATGCATGATCATGGATGTCATTCATCGTTACAGTTCTTGCTCACAGCAACACTGGCAGTGCATATTAAACACACATTTCCCATAACAACTGGAGTTTTCTTTCAATTGCTGCAAGTCATACAGAATGAGAAAATGGTCTTCACTCCCATACTAGTACAGCAAGCTGAACTTGTCATGAAACAACAGGAATGTAATGAACAGCATAAATGTATTTCTCTGAGCACCAAATGGTAAGTGGAAGAAGATATACCCTTTCAGAATTTTAATTATGATTACCTCATCTTACCAGTTTTTCCCACCATACAGCATATTTTTAAATGTTACTTGCTAAAACATTTTTAGGTGAAAGCTTCAGCTATGCTGCACACATTTTGTGTTTTTATTAATTTTTCCACATATATTATGGTCACTTCTAACTCTGGATCAATGAAGTGTAATATATATATATGTACATGCATACCATTTCCTTCTATTTACCAAGTTCACTCAATTTCAGTAATTACTTCTTCATGCAACAAATTATGTTATACAAAGACAAATGAGATGGCAAGCTTTTCTGGTGATCAGAAAAGGATCTGGAAGGAGACAGCTGTAGTCTATTTCACAGTATAATCCCAGCCCTCATCTGGGGAGACTGATAAAATGAAAACTTCAGACAGCATACCTTCACATCAGTCATGACAACTTTAATATCTTTCAACAACTCTAAACCACTACCAACATATCAAGGATTTGTAAACTTTGTTTTACCTACACAGACAATAAGCAGCAATGAAAAATGCAAATATTTCTACAATATACTAGGATTCAAAAACAAAATCCTAGTGCATGCTCAGCCAAAGCCTGTGCACATATTAATTGTGCAGCCACTGTGATCAGTCTTAACAGCCTATTATATAAAACAGATTAAAACAGTTCTTGCAGACTGGACAACTGCAATTCAATTCCTGACAGTGGCATCACTACACCTAGACCAGCTATATACGCATGTCCCATCCTGCCTATCCATGTCCTGGAAGCTTTCTTCACAGGAGTAAATTAGCCACAGCAATCAGTAGACCACTGACCTCCATGTGATACTAAGGTTAAGAAGCTGTAAACCCACTTCTCAAGTTTCATAGAGTGGTACAGGAATAACTTTCTAGCTATCAACCCAATTCCATTACTTACAAAATTTCCTTACATTTTATCAATGTCCTGGAACTGCAGTTTCCATACATCATATGGAATAGTACCTCACTTATTAGACTCCTGAGTTTAGTTTTGGGAAACAATCAACCAACAGCAGAATTAAAACATTATGGCCCAACTCTTACAGTCTAAAAAATCAAATGTGACCAGGTCCACTTCAAACCTCAGGCAATACCTATTAGGTGATACATATCACCGTGGTCATGGTGCAAGGGCCAAGAAGGCCCACCCCTTATACAGTCATTCATATCAGCACTCTGGCAGGGCTCAAAACTATTGAGGCAATTACAAATATCAGTTATTTATAAAATTAACTGAATTAAATTCATGATACTTAAATTTTCCCATGAATTTTTGGTCTAATCAGAATAGTTCATTAAATACATAAAGTACTTCAATTACTATTTCAGTTGTAGCTTGAAAATAATATATAGCCACATCTTCAGCAATTAGGCATGAGGTTTGGACTGGTAACTGCGTTTACTGAACTCTTACAAATCGTAACTACAAGTAATTATAAAACTCTCGCTAAACCACAAACTGCTCACTATAACACTCACTAAATCTTCTGTCTTTACCAATTGCTGGCTGGTAACAGATCTCAAAAATGTTCTCTGCTTCCATTATTAAGCATTTCCTTTGTGATATTGTGTGTTCACTGCTGCGGAAATGGGTTTATCATCTATTCCGTAGCAACGACCATCTCTTCTGGCTCTATTATTCTGGTCCTTCAGCTGCCATGTCATAATATGATTAGTCCATATTTCAGCACTCCAGAAAGGGCAAAGAGCCAATCTACTCATCAAAAGGCATGAAGTATGGAAGTACTACAAGTACGTAGTACCTGGACTTTAAAATCAAGGATCACTACCTTTAAAAAGAAACATCTGATGTTGAAAGAACAAGGTAACTAAACTTTTTAGGTTATAGAATCTCTCAACACATTTGATAAATCACTGGTACAATTCAACACTTCTCCAGATCTATTTCAGTAAAATGGTAACTCCAGTATTTCCACTTTTATTTTACCTAAAAAAAGTGAGGGTGGGGTATTTTAAAGTTGCTTCCCACCAAGTACATCTACTCAATGAATCAGGGTACATCATACCTTGTGCAGGCAACATTATGGAAGACCCATATAAGTATGTCTGAATTTTTCACCATTTTATGCATACTAGAATTATGTGGAAAAAGAATTTAATATTATCCTAAGGTATAGGTCACTGCTCCCTTGTTCAAAAAGAAGATGGAGTTGAAGGCATTTTGGCCTGGAGGGACTTGGGACATTAAAAAGAAATTTAATTCATGATTGCCAGTCCCTGGGCTGAGATCTAAATGTTCACCAGCTCAAATATAAAAGGGAGCTAACCACTTTATCAGTCTTTGGTCAATGCATCAAGAAAATACATCTCCAACAGATATCACTAGAATTCAGTAAGGCACAGATATGTTTGAACACCAAGGCCAGGAATCATAATTCACATACAGGTATTTTTGAACATTTAGGCAAGGAGAGGAAGCCTGTATAAGAAAAGGATAATAACAGAAAAAGAAAGTCAGTTTAAAATGATAAATCAGAATAAAAAAGCACATTCATTATCTTGAGTCAATGTTTTCTTCTTTCAGTAAACAAAGTGAGACTGAATTATTTCCACATACTTTGGACAATGTACAGAATACACACACATTTCATTTATATTACTATACAGGCTAATGAACAGTTAACCACATTTTTTTTAATTATGCCAGTATCTGCTTTAGGTGTGGTGTGGTTGTATGGACATACACACATTCCAGTAGAATAAAAAATAAAAAAATAAATAAATAATAAAAAAAGATACTTTGAATACTTCAACTATATTGCTCTATCGTCTCAAAGCTCCATGTGAACATGAGCAAATTTGTATGCTAAAACATTTTCATAATTCCATAAATAGGACACGCCCTCTTGTGTCACTGCTACCAATATAGAGGTGTTATTGTTTACCCTCTTAACACTTTAAAAATTTGTATAACTTCTTTGTTATTGTAGAGTTACATCTTCTGCAATGTAATACTGTGTAATCTGCTGAAAGTGAACTGATGTTTTGCAGGAACATATTGCCTCAATCTTCTGGGTTGGAGGATAAGTCAAGAAAGAAACCAACATGAAGCAGGAAAAAAGTTTTTCTTGGTTTCTTGCTTGGCTTAATCTTCAACATTTGAAGGTGGTGAATAATAATAGAAGTACAAACGTTATATTTCTGGACACTGTTCACCATCCTGCTTATTTTTTGAAACACAATGTTTCAGAGACTGGATTCTGTCTCCATCTTGAGTTAAAACCTACTCAG